AATGTTCATAATGCTTCCAAATAATGTTCCAAAAACAATTAACCGAACAAGTAAATCCAAATATTCTCTTTCAAGTTATTGATAAAAAATGTTGATTAATTATTCCTTTCTTCTAACAATCAAGGCCTAAAGTAGTTGTTATCTTTTTTTTTTTAAGGAAAAATAAAGTTTAAAGTTGAACCTCTTATTGCTAATAGACTTCTTCAATCGTACCAAACAAAGTTTAAATTATACTTCTTCTGTCCCTAATCTTTTGGATGTTATTAATTTTTACGAAATTTAAGAAAAAAAATTTAATTTTAACGTATTTATTATTAAAATTTAAATTTTTTATAAAATTAAAATTTCATAATTTTTAATGGCAAAAAAGTAAAAAAAAAAAAAAGAAATTTATAAAATATAATTTTACATTATAAAAATAAAAGTTTTAGATATTCAAAAAAAGAAATAAAACATTACTTTAGAATATCTAAAAAAAATAAAGATGAATAGAGAAAATGAAAGATACAAGAAATGACCTCTAAAATTCTTTTTCCAAGCTGAAGTTATCGAATCTCATCTCTCCTAAGACTTCTTGAATTTTATGTGCAAAAAGAAAAAAAAGTAGAGTGGAATATGGAAAAGGTGGAGTGGAATATATTTAGATTCCATGCTAACATATAAAATTTATAGTCTAATAATACATCAATATAAACCTTAAACATATAAAAATACAAAAAAGTTTTGATTGACTTATTATCTATATAACATCATGAAGTGGGTTGCCTAAAATTTATGAGCCCATTTTAAATTGGATTAAAATAGTAATAGGCCAAAAAATGGTAAATTGGGAATTTCGAGTAGGAAAGTCAATAATTATCCTTTTTTAATGGTTTTTATTTTTAATTAGATTGTTGTTCTACATTTTTTAGAGTTTTTTTATTGACAAAAGTTATTTTAAAGTAGATATTTGATAAAAATAAAAAAAATTGTTATCAAAATTAATAATACATATTTTCCTCAAAAAAATAACTTGTAACTTTTTTAAGAGAAATTTAAAAATATCCTAAATGATTGTTATTGATCAAATTGAATACCTCACGTTTCAATACTTTGTAAAAGCATGACTAGTTTGTTTTTTATCAAATTAAATTACAAATTTTATATATGTTAAAATTTTAATTATTTGTTGAAACTTGATAATAAAGTTGCATTTTGTACAAATAATTAAAATTAATAAAGGGCATATTAATCAAAATTTGTATAACATATAATGTTTTTCCCATTTTCAAAATTTATTCATTAACATAGAATTTATTGTTTCTAAGTTCTAACTTTAATGTAAAATTAAAACTCTATAGATAAGATAATTCAATGTAAACTTTAACTATTTTTTTATTTAATTAATAAATCTATTTAGTAAAAGTATTAAATTCATATTTATATTTGATAAATATTACTAATATTTACAAATAAAATTTAAAAATGTAATAAATAAAATATTTTAAAAAAAATCGATAGAATAAACTTATTTATAACATATATAAATCGATCGTATGACATTTATATTTTTGTGTCATATTGTATTCTTTTTATCTATTTGCTAGTGTAATACCCTAACCCAAATAATAATTAGGCTAGACTAATACTAAAGTCCATCAGTTTATTAAGACATTATTTAGTAAAAGAAAAAGAGTTGAAGTATTAGATGAAAGAAAACCTAACTATCGCGAAACAGAAATGAAATAGAGTTCTTCTTTCTCATCTTCCTTAGGGTTAGAGAATACGAAAAATCAAGTTGGAGATTCACAATCAGATGCTACAATCAAGTTAATCCCTTAAAGGTGAGTACATGCCCTCTTTTTATTTAAGAAGAAATATCAAGTTGATTGCTATTATTTGGAGTTGAAGTTTTGAGAGAAAAACCAAAAAAATTATGAAATCTTTCATTAATCTTCATGATCTATTTGGGTAAATTACTGGGCTTTATTTATTTCATGTTCTTAAGATTTATTGATGATTATTGAATGGAGTTTAAAGGCTGAAAGTAAGGATTTTAGTTTTTAAAGATTGAAAGAGAAATTTTATTTTTGGATGAGATATTGTGATCTGTAATAATGAATTAAAATAGAATTTTGTATTAATGGATAGATTATTGCTGTGATTATTATATATCATTGGAAAGCATGTTGAATTTAGTTTCTAATGAAACAAACAAAAGTCAAATCCGAGTTTTCTATGAAGAGTTATCTAATTTTAACTTAAGGATATGCAGGCTGTAAGATAGCAGCATCAGGGTTGAATTACGAAATTCCTCTTAATTTGTATACAAGGATTTACAGATTAAGCCATATATATTTGGAAATCTTATTGAGTCTACTTTCCAATGAAACAAGCGGAATTGAATTTGGAGTCTCTTTTGAATAAATATATAATTTTTATTAGAAGGTATACAGGCTGTCTGGCAGCAGCATATGACGTGGATTTCAAAAATTGTTATAATTAATCTACAAGGAATCATGAGGTGTGCTATATATGGTTAGAAAGCTTATCAAGTCTAGTTTCTAAGGCATTAAAAAGATCATAATTCCGTTTTGGATATATTGAGATATGACTATTTTAATGAAAAGAGGTCAGGCTGCCAGTATTAATTAGTTAAGTTAACCCTTATGTAACTTAGTTGATTTTTGTATTCTCAAAAAGAGTTGATTAAATTCTGATCTGTTGAAATGATCTTGGATAGGCAATTAATTATTTTGGGAGAAAAACTAAGTGGTGGAATCAAATGGAGGTAAGTAGAATCTCACACACTTTGCTTGTTTTTGAATCTATGTATATATGTATATTTTTAAATGAATGAATATTTTATTTCCTTATTTTCGATGTATGAAAATAAGATCAAGCATATGATTATTTTGTGTTTCTGATCATGCTTATGAATGAAATAAGAAAATAATTTATGTTTAAAGAATGATTTTGTGATGGCTACGTTTTTTATATCCCTGGGAAGTGGGATCATGGACACCAGAACTAGTTCTACGGTCCTGGCTAACGGGTTATAGTAGTTAGCAAAGACATGATCATACGGCCCTGCTAATGAGTTATAGTAGTTAGTGTAAGGCCCTGGCTAGCGGGTTATAATAGTTAGCAATGATCATGATGATGAAATTATCGATACGACCGATGTCACGGGTTATAGCAGTGACCGTAGCTAATGATAAACGATTGATAATGATGATTTATGATGATTTTAAACATTGATCCATGATTTTTATGAAATATGTATTTGACCGTGATTTGCGATTTATAATTGATGAACTGATATGGTTTGACATTGATTTATGAATTATTTGACAAAACTATGATCTTGAAATGTTTTGACATTATGATTTGACGAATGTTTTAAATGATCTATATGATATATATGAAAATAATGCTTAATCCGGTAAGGTGTGTGAGCCTATACTTATTGAGTCGTAGTTTGCGCATTTTTCTTTTACTTTTTCTTTACAGATGTCTAAGTGATAAGTTTGGTTAATCTTGTGTGAACTTAAAAGATGAAATGGGTAAGATTACTTAATCGTCAGAGAATATGTTAGCCAATAAGATTTTAAGAGATAGTTTTATATTTTATATAGTTTGTATTTTGATATATAAAAATGTATCATCAGTTGGATTAAAGATATAGATTTTAATTGGTAAATTATTTTATTAAAGAGTTTTAGAATGATTAAGAAAGAAAGTTTTGTATTACTTTGATATTTTCTTTAAGGTAATACGATTGTATTACATCTTGGTCTTAGGGCGTGACAGCTAGCCCTTAGAACTAAAATCTCTAACCTATGACTCAGAATATTCTCATCCAAATGACTAAAAAAAAGTCCTCAATTATTTGCAAATACTCCCCCAATCAATCTAACCATGCAATTAACCTCAAATTAATATTATCTTCCTTTTAAAAGTTAAAACTTAAAGGTAATAATGTTAATAATGCTTCCAAATAATGTTCCAAAAGCAGTTAACTGGACAATTAAATCCAAATATTCTCTTTCAAGTTATTGATAAAAAATGTTGATTAATTATTTCTTTCTTCTAGCATACAAGGCTTAAAGTAGTTGTTATCCTTTTTGTTTTTTTAACGAAAAAATAAATTTTAAAGTTAGAATCTTTGATTGCTAATAAACTTCCTCAATTGTACCAATCAAGGCTTAAATTATATTACTTCCATCTTTATTTGTTTGGATGTTATTAATTTTTACAAAATTTAAGAAAGAAAACTTTGATTTTAATGTATTTAATATTAAATTTTAAATTTTTTATAAAATTAAATTTTTATGATTTTTATGTCAAAAAAATTAAATAATTTTAAAATAGAAAAAACAAGAGTTTTGACATTAAAAAAAAGACAATTTTGAAATATCCAAAAATGAAATGAATAAAAAAAATGAGAATGAGTACAAGAAATGACCTCTAATAATCTTTTCCAAAGTTGAAGTTAGGGAATCTCATCTTCCCTAAGAACTTCTTTAATTTTATATACAAAAAATAAATAAATAAATAAACAATAGACAATTCATTTCTTCCAAACCCCTATCAAGTCATGCTTAAATATTCCTCTATTCTTTCCTTCCGTATGCTCCCAATCAACAAGCAATTATATAATTTTTTTTTTCTTTTTTTTTTGTTTTTTGTTCAATATTATTCAAGGTTTTTTTTTTTTTAAGCACTAGTTAGGAGTAATTTGCAAGAACAAATTGTATTTTAGATAATACTTAAAAAGTTAAATGTAATATTTATATTTCGATATTAAAACTAACAGAATCTTCTATTTGCAAGTATATAAATGCTTCCAAATTCCTTATAAACGTTCTATACAAACTCTTTGTAATTTGGTTTTATATTCTTCAACTCTTTCAACCCTCACAAATCACAATACTCTTGTCCATCTTCTCTCTCTGTCTCTCTTACTCTCTTCGCATCTCCTAATCTTTCCTTTCTGTGTTTGTTTGAGAATTGAGATCATGGACATCAAACCTTTCCTTCATGAACACCACTTGCTCTTTGATGAATACTTAGATCAAGAGGCATTTTGTGATCATTGCAACCGGCAAATTGATGGTTGGGCCTTTACTTGTGAAACCTGCAAGTTTTGGCTACATGAATCATGTGCTAAACAACAATTGCCTTCTACGATTTCACATCCTCTCCATTCTCAACACCTTCTCACTCTGCTCTTTACTGATTATTTTTATGTTTGTGGTAAATGTTTTAGTCTTACTCGACGCTGCATATATAGATGCAAGGATTGTGATTTCAACCTTGATCTCTTATGCGCTTCTTCAACTACTAATGATGAGACCCCACATGAAGAGTGGGAAAGATCTTATCATAGATATAAAACCATTGAGCATTTCAGCCACGTAGATAAATTGAACCTGTTCAACTATAGGAAAGTAGGAAAGGATGAGTATATTTGTAGATGGTGTGAGAAGCTTCTGTCAGGAATGTCCTACGGTTGTTTCCTTTTTTGTACTTCTGAAGAGGTCTTCTTTCACGAATCCTGTTTGATTAATATGCCCACTATAATCTCAAAACATCACTTTCATCCATCACACCCTCTTTACCTACGAGATTTGCCAGGGTCTCTCATTTGCAATGCTTGTGGAGATGAATTGAAAAGTAAAAAGACAAATGGATATAGTTGTACAAAGTGCATATTCCACCTTCATGTTACATGTGCTACATTCCAACCCAGTCTAAAACATGAGTTGCATGAGCATCATCTTACTTATTTTAAAATAAAACACTACTTTGGTTCTCTCCAATGTAAGAAGTGTAATGAGATGATTAGACTAAATGAGAGTGAGAGTGCTTTTTATCGTTGTGTGGAATGTGATTTCAACCTCCATCTCCGTTGTGCATCATTACCATTTACTGCTAAACACGAGTATCACAGACATGAACTTATGCTTGTCCATTCATTTATAGAAGATGGATCTAATGAATATTATTGTGATATTTGTGAGAAAGAAAGAAAACCAAAACACCATGTCTATTGCTGCAAAAAATGCAAATTTGTTGCACATATCGGATGTGTACTCCATAAGGTAAGTCAGTAAAATAAAAGCTTAATTAATTAGCCTTCTTCAACATTTCTTTCAAAAAAAAATTAAACTCTTCCAATTAGAATCCTAACATTACTTTTTTTTTTGGTGCTAATATTTCCAATTCCCCAGTCCATAGATACCGAATTTGAGCATGGGTCGACATCTAGCTTGGTGGATAGCAAAGCTTCTATAGGAAAAGTGACAGAGCAAGAGGGAACAGAGGTAAGAAATGAAGACTTCCTTACTCATCTCAAGGTATTTGGGTAGGTGAAATAATTGGTAATATTAGAGGGTATATTTATAGAATGATATTAATATATATTATGTAGTTAAACTAATTTAATTTTTATTTACTGAAAAGTGTTATATAAGGTACTTTTTGTGTTTTTTTTTTTATAAGCTTATTTGTCTTATTTTTCAATAACAAAAATGAATATGCCTTACAGCGCCATTTCAATTATATAATTTCCATCTCTTTTAGATCTCAACATTAAAAAAAAAAAAAAAATCTATAGATGAAAGTTTTTGACCTATTCATAGACTTGTTATAAATGTAGGTAAAAATCTAATTTTTCATCATTATTTATTTTACCTTATTTTTGGTGCTTATATTTTTATTTTTCCTTTTATTTTTAGATAGACAAGAACTTTTCATCTAAGTATAATAATTACCGACTGTAAGAAAAATATAAGTAATAAATTGTATAGGTCCCATTGTCCATACTATCTAATACTTTTTTTGTTTCATTTTCTTTGTTTATGTTTTTTTAGGATGTCCCAAAATTATATCATTTTTTTAACATTTAAAATTCTTATTTTTTATATTTTAAAATTATTTTTTATGATATTTTTTATTTTTTGACGTTAAAAGTCTTAGATTTTAATTTTATAAAAAAAAGAATTTTAATATTAAAATATTAAAGTCAATTTTTTTTTTAAACTTCATGAAAGTTAATGATACCTAGAAAATTTGAGACAAAAAGAGTATATGGTACATAATATTACCAATATTTGAATTGCTTTCAATGGAGCCTAATTCAATTGAAAAATTAAAAGTTTGAATAAAATAATGGCACAACATTTTAAATTTTCAACAAATCGATCATTTTTAATGCACACATTTCAATTCTAACTTTATCACCCTCTTTTTCTATTTTCTTTTAACATAAGAGAAAATAAAGGTAATTGAAAACAAGTACTAATTAGTAATTACCTCTTTGTAATCAAGTTTGTTCATTCAATCTCTTTTTTTCACCTTTGAAATGCAGATTGACTATTTTGATCATCAACATCCCCTAAGATTTTATGAGGTTATTAGAAAAAATGAAAGTCTTCTCTGCCATGCTTGTTGGCTGAAAATCTATGATCAAGCGTATGTTTGTAAATATGGATGCGCAATCTACTTACACAAAGCATGCACCAAATTGTCCTATGAGCTGCTACACCCTCTTCATCCCCAACATTCTCTCAAACTCATTACCAGTGGGCTTCGGTTTACATGTGATGAATGCAGAGAGCGTGTTGATAGTGGTTACGTGTACATGTGCTATGCGTGTGATTTCAAACTTGATGTGAAATGTGCTACTTTATCAGTGCCTAAACATGAGAGCCAAAGGCTAAAAGAGATGGAGAGACGATCCAAGTTGTGCCCTTTAAACCAACTCCATAAGCTAAACTTCTTCATTTATGGGTCCACTCTATGGACCCATCCCAGGTGCCATTTTTGTGCGCAAGTAATCCGGGGACCATCCTATAGATGCTTTAATTGTGAATATAAGCTTCATGAATCCTGCCTTGGATTTCCCCTGGAGATGCAACTCCATTTTCATCCACTACACAACCTTCGCTTAATTCCCGTCGAAGAAAGAATTTGTCTTGTCTGCAAAGACGCATCCTATTTGAAGATCAAGTATAGTTGTTTGCAATGTGATCTCCACCTTCATCCTTATTGTGCTAAATCCCTGAAGCGGATGGTAAAATCTAAGTCTCACGTGCATAATCTTTATTATTTTGGACCAAATGCTTGGAATAAATTCTATCATGAGGGAAAAACATGTGATGAATGCAAAGAAAGGTTTTCTTTTACTCCTTTCTATTTTTGTATGGAGTGTGGTATCAAGTTGCATATCAAATGTGCTGTACCACATTCAGTTAAATCCAAATATCACATCCACCCCTTCACTCTTAAGGGTCATTCATTGAAAGAAGATTTGGGAGAATATTACTGCGACATTTGCGAAGAAGAAAGGGATCCACAACATCATTCATATTACTGTGCAAAGTGTGAAGGGTTGTTTGTTGCTCACATAGATTGCGTGCTCAATTCGGTAAGTTCACCCACTATATATAATCTTTAATTCAGAACTTAATTGCTTTTATATTATTGAATTATTTGAAGGAAAATAAGCATAGAAATCTGCATAAACACATCACCACAATATATAATTACACATATGCACCATATTTCATGTTTATTGGAGAATTTGTATAGTAATCTCATAAGCTTCTTTTAGTTTATGTTTTGCTGTTGGCCATAAAAAAATGAAAATTTATGTCTCTGGTTAATCTTATGGACCAAACATACAAATACTTTCCCTCTATTGGTGAAAGAATAACAAAATTGTAAAATTAATGAAGTCTGACAGCAAAATCAATGCTTTAAATCAGGTTGAAGAAAATGCAGAAGCAGAAGAGCCATCCACAAATCTGGCATCAGACTTTGAGCACACCTAAATACAGGCTAGCTGAGATGGAAATGTACGGATGAATCAACAGGAGGAGCAAAGCAATAGTGAAATTTCAGCAATGGAGAAATCAACAGAAGAGCCAACATGGTGATGAAGAAAATTAGTTCTGCCCTTACTTTGCTAGATGAAGCATAATTCCATCAACAAAACTGTTATCACTTGAAGAAAGCAAAGGGCTGCATTGTTTATATTTTTCAAATTACTGCAACTATCTATGTTAGCATCTTGCATTCATTCTCCTATAATTTAAACGATTTGAGCATTCAGTTGAAATTTTCTCTCACTACTTGTTTGCATTGTCATAACATGTAATATCTGATTGCTTTATCGGGTGGAAGAAACTGTGCTAATAATAGAAATACCCTTAAATTTGAGATCGGACCTTGAGGATATACCAATAAAGGAAAGGCAGAGAAAAAAAAAATCAACAGGGAAATTAATAGAACCAAAAGAAGAGCAACTTGGACAGGAAATTGATCCTACCCCTGTTGGACTGGATAGATCATACCAAGTCTCTAGGGATTAGAGAGAAATTATTAATGCTATTAATCTGTAAACAGAATTTTGGTGCTTCATATCGTTTCATTATTATGGCCCCCATGAACACGTTGCTTTAAGCTCATCAGTACTCATGACCTTCCCTCAGTCTATTGATCATTTGCTATTCTGCCATCACAATTGAAAATAAAAATAACATTCCATTTCTTCTAAATGGCTTAATATATAATCATGCAGTTGAATCAAATCTCCAAATCTATCTTAGACAAGAGATTTCATGAACCATAACTTTCCTAGTCAACATGATCAGTCGAGGTTTTGAGAGGTGGGTCTGTTTCTTAAAGTAGTTGACTATATATTACCAATTTTTATGAAAAGGAATAGAAGCTTCAATCTAACCTATCTGTAAGGTCTTTTGGTTATTGATTAGAAACTATTAGAGGAAATTAACAGAAAGAAATTATAAAATGAAAAGTTAGAAGAAAATTACTTCAAGTTCATAGACTTAAATAAATTGGGAATTGAGCTTAAATTTCCTCACTAGACTATAAAAGTTTCAAATATCCTCATTCGTTATATTTTTTAGCATATATAGATGAACATTTTGTGCGAAATTCTTTCTTGTTTTTATATATTTTTTATTATAATATTATAAACTAAGGATGAAATTGATTTCAGCTTCAAAATTGTCCTCATTTGGAAAGAACTGAGAAACAAACAAAAGGGAACACCATGCAAATCATTTTGTCATTGAAGAATTGCAGTGCCATAGAAGGAAAGCAACGTTTGTTTAAATACAAATTCCCTAAAATTCTAATCTCCCCTTTAACATTTTTATGGCAAGAAATAAAAATTTGATTAAAAAATTTTAAATTTAAATTTAATTAATTTATTAAATTTTTTTGACAGATAATTTTCAATAAATTTAAAATTAAAATTCAAATACATGTAATTTTTAACCTTAAATTATGATTCTATTAAAAAAAAAAAGCAATTTGACCAAAATCTAGATAATGTAAAATAAACTGAGAAGGGAGAATTTCGAGTGGACTTGAAAAACAAAAGAGTATCCCATAAACAAAAAAACCACCACTAATTTATGGCCCCATTATTTATTATTATTATTAGTTTTTGAATTAATTCATTCTTTTTTGTTTAGCAGCCTTTCATAATAACTCACGTCACCAAAGCAAATAAAAATGAGAAATTATACTTTCACCCATTCCATTTTATCAATTTACGAATAAACCCTAAGTGAGATAAGATTTCATTTCCTTTTTATAAAGATTACAATGCAATTTGACCTTTAAAATATTAAAAATAGTTTAATTTTTATATTTAAAAGAAATTATTTTTATACTTAAAATTATTTATTTAAAGTTTAAAATTAAGATTGTACTAAAATGAAATTTTATGATTTAAATTGTTAATACAATTAAAAGATATTAAATTAAAAAAATGAAATCTATGGGGGCGGAAATATGGTTTTCCCTAAAAAAGAAAAACAAGAAAAGATAAGAACAGTTCCTACTCGTAATAAAATTCGTGTCTTTATTGAAACCGAGAAGAAAAAAAACATTAACAAAACAAAGCCACCACGTCCTTGATCAAGAAAGAATATTTCATTCCTGTGCTATTTCCTTTCCCTGTTTTTGTACTCTGTTTTTTTTTTTTTTTGGTCTCCAAAAACACCAGCTTTCTATTCTATCCATTCACCAACTTCTCAGGGATTCATTCGTTCTTGATTTTAATACCATTCCAAGTAAGATTCTTTGATACCCTTTTTGGATATTTTTCATCTTTTGAAAAAAAAAGTTTTACTTATATAATATATTGACCATAATTTCTTTGATACCCAATTCTAGGAAAAGCTACTTTTGTTGAATTTTTTTTTCTAGTTAGTGGTTGTAAGTTATGAAATGGGTTGTTTCTGATTTTTATTATTAATAGGCTGATTAGTTGGGTTTTTTTTTTTTTTTTGGTGCTATTGGATTGGTCTGGTTTGGTTTGTTTATTAAGAAAGCTTTGTGTTATTGGTTATTTGCTTTCTGAAGTGTTATTCCTGGTTTGTCTAACAATTTCTTTGATTGGAATTTTGTTTTCGGGTGGTGAGGACAGTAGTTACTTTTTTTTTTTTTTGCGTAATCATATTTTGGATAAGTGAAACTGAAAGGTTATGGTTTATGTGAGTTTATTTGGGGCTTTCTTTTTGTTAGTCTAAGTAAATTTGCACAGTGCTAAATGATGCTACTGGTGATTAATCTGATGTTCCAGTTTAGTTTCCTTATTGTGGCTTTCATAGACTTTGTAATTTCTTTTCATTTTTACAATGAATAGGGTTTTATGTGATTTTTGTTTGACTAGAACTTGCAATGGATTTAATTGGACAGTGGATTTGGTTGATTTATGTCCTGCTAGTACTTTTGCATTCTTTCATTATTAAAAATCAATTTCTTTGCTTGTTTATGGTGATTCTGCTTCAATTTTTATAGATATCTACTTGTTGGTCAAGATATTTTCACTCCTTTTATGTGATTTTTCTTTGGACATGAACATGAGATAGATTTAGTTGGACAGTGGATTCTGGTAGTCTGAATCCTGCTAATACTTCTGTAGTTTCCATTTGCTCAAAAATCTTGCTTTTTTACAGTGGTTCTGCTTCCATTTTTAGAGATATCAACGTGTCGGTCAAGATATGGGGACCCTTTTGGTCAAAATCACTTCAAGATTTTTTTGTTGGTTCTTTACTTATTTCTTTTTATGACAGAAGTAAGATAGATTGTATTTCTTGCCTCCCCTCCAAATGGTTTCCTTGTTGGCTTTGACTTATTGGTATGAAATTAATGGAGTGGCTGTAAATACTGAATAGATTGAAATTTATATTGAAAACCAATGTAATGGTTTCTTTTTCAGTTGGGGTGAAGTGAAACTGCCATTTCTCCAATGATGCTTTTGCTTGTTTATTTTGTACCTTCTAAAAATCATTTTGTAATGGTCATGTCATCATTATTTGTAGTTCATGGTTCATGATCAGCAAATGGATATCGTTATACTTTTATTTGATTTTTATAGGTCAAATATTTACAATCATGCGTTTGTCCGGCTGCCCATGTTATCAAGCTAATACTTGTCCCCAGTGAACTAAGAAATGAAAAATCTGTGGGAAATTGTATGAAATAAAATTTGTTTGGACAAAATTTGCAAGTTTCAAATGCTGAATCTGTTAAATTTCTGGCAATTTTGAGGGTCCACTGTCTTCTTCTGTCCTATTTCATGTCTTTGGACTGTCTTAGTTTTAGAATACCAATCTCACCTCTTTCTTGGCCGGTAAATTTAATTCATAAGGAGTAAACAATAAAGTTGTTGGAAAGGTATCAGCCTTAGGATAAATCTCATTCATTTTTCCTTCCCTTATGTTATAGTTAATGATTTATTTGATGGATATATAATGCAAAGTAAGTTTAGAGCCACCGAATCAAAGATTTTTGAATTTCTTGATATATGATGTTAACAAGCATCTTGCTTTGTTTATTCAGATTGCTGGTACTTAGATATAAAGAATCTGCTAATCGGGAACTTAAGTCTCTGCTGCTACGTCTTCATCTTTTCCAGCTCTTCTCTTTCAACCACTCTGCCATGAGGTGGGCCTTGGAAAGTTTTTGTATAAGCAGGAGGGATTCGCTGATCCTCTAGACGTAGAGTGTGCAGGGCTTTGAACCCAAATACATTACCCAAGATGGAAGTAAACATGTCAATAACAGAACCTTCTTCAAAAAGGTCTTAAGGGGTAAGCTACATAACATATATATTGATTTTCTTCTTCAGCAACGGGCTCAATGTAGTAGCACTGCCCTTTGTAACGATCAAGGCTGGTATCCCATATTGTATGGTTCTTTACAGGTTTCCTCAGGAAGGGAAGTGATGAAAACCTCTGTATCACCAAAAGAATCTCCGTTACCCTTACCCACCAATGGAACCCTGGGAATTTGTTTCCATCCCTTTCCATAACCACCAACAAACATGCATGCCTCAGCTTTACCACATGATCAACATTCTCAAAATCCTGCATTCATTTCTCAGTCTCCAAGGGAATTAGCATCTTTGCCACCAATGGTTCTTCATTCCATAACAGTCCACAGCTTTAATTAATCAGCCACAGGAAAATAAGGATGTTTCTTGGTGTTTAGATCGGCTTCTAAACTTTCTTGATTTGC